CTCTCTCTCTCTCTCTCTCTCTCTCTCTCTCTCTCTCTCTCTCTCTCTCTCTCTCTCTGTGTGTGTGTGTGTGTGTGTGTGTGTGTGTGTGAAAAGTTGCTTCCCGATGCCTGGATGTATGTTTTGCAAACGACCAGGCCTGTACATCCCGCCAGACATGGTGCAAGCACTACCGCGTCAAAGAAAAATGGCTGGGAGATCAGAAAAGGCCACAGGTAAGATCAGAAAAGGTGAAAAAACAAAGGGCGGAAAAACAAAGGGTGGAATACAAAGGCATATACGTACTTTATAGCACTGACAGTGCATGGTTTTCCGAAACATCTAGACAGCCCAGGAAACAGGTCCGGCCTTGCGTTGAAGAGGGCAGCATCCAGCCCGCTGAGAAGAACCAGCACAACCTTCGAAATAAGCGGCTTGTTCTACAAAAGGAGCACAACAAATGCATGAACGCAAATCACATAATTGTGCATGGTTATTGACTCATCGATCTCTTTTCTCCCCGTCTTTTTGCTATTTGCTCGTCCATTTTGCCCTTTTGTAACCCCTGGCTGTATCTCTTTCACACTTCGCACAATTTCAATCTGCCCAAGCTACTTCTGTCTATAGACCAGTCGTAATACACAAGCAGGACCAAACTGTCAGATCAGATCGATAGTCGATCAAATGTTGGCCAAAGGTGGAGAGCATATACAACTCTTCAGTCGCAACTGCCAGAGCAAGGACACCAAGCGAGCTGCATTCCACGAGGAAGCAGCAGACGCAGGTAAATTTCCCGGTTCCAAACTTGCAGCAGCAGAAGTGCCCTCCCGGTACACACTGGATTTCATCAAGCCCTTCGCTGATAACCGCGGCAGGCCACCAGGAACGGGCAGAAGTCAACAGGCATCACAGAGCTTGCTATTAAGAGGACAAGACCTCATCTGGGTCACTATGGACGAGTTCTCCCGGGAGGAAGAAGAGGTGTCGAGAAAAGTGCTGTCAAAAAAGTGATATGAGCTGCGAGAAGGGTTGAAGGCAATTGGAGATGACCCCGATGAATCATCACATCTGATTTAACATGTCACCCCATCCGGTCAAGATGACGCTGATGGATCGTCGCATCTGATTGACACGCCCACTCATCTTTTTCTTTTTTTTTTGGTAAAAAGATTGGACCATTTCTCTGCTTACGTGTGTCATCCTTGCGCAGGGGCCATGGTAATCTTCTCTGTATTGTTCCGATTTTAACGGATGTCCCGGAGGACGCATGCCACCTCATCTAAGAACTTGCTATCTGAGAACTTACTGTGGTCCACACCTCAAAGTTAATATCGTCCCACCCAAGTTCGAAGGAAGAACGAGCATGCATCCCCCTACCGTGGACGGAAGAGCAAATGTACATATAGAGGATCACTAAGCATCACTACGTGAAGGCACCAGGAAGAAGGGAAAGACTACCATCTTCACCCGAATAGAACGCCCGGTCATTATAGCTGTATTTGGCACAACTTTCAGTCCCGATGCAGCAATAATGACCGGCCATTCTATTCAGGTGAAGACGGTAGACAATTCTATTTTTGGCACTAACCGGAGGCCGAAGACGACTCTTATAAACAATGCACCAAAAATTGTCGCAGCATGTGAGAAAGCACTTACAAGAAACAAGAGAAGAAGATAATTGCAGTTGCAGGTTCAGTGTATATCTTATACGGCAGTGTGGCATACCCCGACGGTTGGTGACCCCTTGACTGGTCGTCTGCCGACCAGCCGACCGGTCGGCTGGTCGGCACCCCGCCAAAAACAAAAAAAAAAACAAAAAAAAAAAACCATATTTGTTTCCTGGGGAGTCCATAACCCCACCAACAACCCCATA